CCGGCCGGGTTGATAGCGCCATGTAGCGTCTTAAGGGCTGCCAGGGTCGCTGACCTGTCCCGCGTGGGTGCTGGGGTTGATGGGTCGAGGTGTGTCCTGACCCATTCGGGCCAGGTCGACCTGGGGAGGGAGGCCACTCGAGTATGCACCACTAGGTCCCAGACCCGCACTAGGTCGCCCACCGTTTGCAGTTTCCTGCATGTAGCGATCCCCACGAAGTGCGTCTCCAGGCCCGGGCGGCGGTTCAAACTGTCTGGGTCTGCCTCGCCGGTATTGGGGAGCAACGGGTTACCCCACAACGCGGTTGCCCAGCACCACGGTCCGGGGGACAGGGGGCTGGTCTCGATATCCCGGAGCGGTGGTAGGTGTCCCAGGGCGCCCACAATCCGGCTGATATCCGTGGGTAGGTCGCTTCCGCCGAGTCGGGGCCCGGCTTGGCTGGCGGTCGTCAGGGCCCACGGTTGGAAGGCGGGGTGGGTGAGCAGCATATAGGCGGAGAGCGTCCGGACCCAGGGATGGAGGCCGCCATCTGCCCTCCCGTGCCCCCCGGTACCACCCGTGGTTCCTGCAGCTCCACCTGTCCCACCTGTCCCACCTGTCCCACCTGTATGTATGTATGTATGTATGTATGTATGTATGTATGTATGTATGTATGTATGTATGTATGTATGTATGTATGTATGTATGTATGTATGTATGTATGTATGTATGTATGTATGTATGTATGTATGTATGTATGTATGTATGTATGTATGTATGTATGTATGTATGTATGTATGTATGTATGTATGTATGTATGTATGTATGTATGTATGTATGTATGTATCGTTGATTACACTGTGGGCTGAAAAGCCGGGGGCCCAGGGCCGAAGCACAGCGCGGGGGGCGGGTGCATACGGCTGGTTAGTCTCATGCACTCCGCCCCCGGGTCAGGCCGCACGGGAAACGACGGCCGGCACGCAACAGCGCTTGTTTGGCGCTCCAACTAGACGGGATCTATGCCCGTTGGTCTCCTAACATAAACGAAGTGGGATCCTGGGGGGCTCTTCCTGCCGACCGAACGA